TTCTGTCACCCCTAGAGCCGCTGGCAGGCACGCCCCCTGGTAACCTCAGGGTGAGGTGTGAGTATTCCCCTGTGATTCAGGGTAGGTCTGAGTACTTCACTCCCAGTTCTGTTTATCCTACCTCGCACCACTATGGCTCGGGTCGAGTATGAAGTAAGCCTTCACTTCTTTGGTCGAAGTACGCTCCCCTGTAGCCAGAGCATTGCCCTGAGCTGACGCCCATGCATAGATGGTAGGCCCCTGACTAACTGGGGCCTCCGTTGAGGCAGAGTGGCGTATGTTGTACTCCCCTTGTTTTTAAGGGTGCTAAGCTCTCTTGCTAAGTACACTGCCGTGGGCAATGTGATTAGGCACCAGGATGCTGTAGGCGCTGTGTAAACAGCTTATCTGCCAACGAAGGCTGCGCCATCAGGTAGTAGGCCTCAGCAGGCCTCCTTGTATGGGCAGCCCCCAATAGGGTGCTGTAGGCCACTTCTCGAGAGAAATGGTTGGCCTTGGTGGTTCGGGCAGTTGGCTCACCGGTGGGTAGTAGGCCTTTAACAGGCCTCCTCGGAGGTGAATCCCAACATTGTGGGACATACTTTATAGCCGCTACAGGTAGCTAACCGTACTAGGCCTCCTGTGGGTGGGCCCAATAGTTACGTTGGTGTAGTATGGTTCCCAACAGTGTTCCTTTGTAGCAGAATGGACTTGCTATCAGCTAGTAGGCCCAACCAGCCCTCCCTGATAGGCGAGTCCCCAGCTGGCTGGCCTTAGCAGGCCGCCTTGGAACTGTCACCCAGACTCAGCTACCAGTTGCTATCAGGTAATAGGCCACTCAGGCCTCCCTGAAGGTGAATTCCCACTTAAGATGGTTATCAGGTAGTAGGCCTCACCCGGCCTCCCTAAAGGCGAATCCCCACCTACATTGGCTATCAGGTAGTAGGCCTCACCAGGCTTCCCTGGAGACAAGCCCAAGGACAGACAACTGGACAGCTAGCCTGACTTTCTATCGGGTAGCAGAAAAAGCTCCCAGATATTATGGCTGTCAGGTAGTAGGCCTCACCAGGCCTCCCTGAAGACGAGTTCCCACATGCTGTGATTATAAGGTAGTAGGCCTCACCAGGCCTCCTTGTGAGTGGTTCCCTAGCGGTGCTGGGTTCAGGAAGCTAGTGGCCTCTTGCTATCATTTCAGCTGGCCTTATCAGGCAGCTGCTGAGGCGAGCTTGCGCCCTGGCTCGACAAAAGTGTTCATTCTCTGCTACTGGTTCCCTCTCGGAACCTCTTTCCTGCCTACAGCCTGGTTTTGCCTACCAGGGGGACCATATGCTCCCCTCATTGAGGGTCACTGTGAGCACGCGGACTCCTGAGTCTGGTCAGACGGTCGTAGGCCTCTCGCGAGGCCTCCCAGTTAGATCAGTCCTTAGGCCTTCACAGGCCTCCTCAGTGTTTTGAAACACAGACACTGGGTTGATCCGTGGATCGAGTAGAGAAACTCCCCTCGTTAGCAAGGGTTGGAAAGTACTATGCTGAGTCATACTCTCCGGGATATCCCGTCTCTGAGATCCGGGCCGAGCGGTTCACTGCCAGCTCTCAGTCCCTCGGGTTGGATGCCTTACCTAAGGCAAGTGTCCAGAGGCTCTGTCTTCAGACAGACAGGAAGTGGCCAGACTAAGTGTCTATGCTCTGACGCCAGGTCAGGCCGTCCTGGTGGCATTTCGGGGTGAGTACGTTCCCCTGAATAGTGATTGGCTGGGGTTCCTTCGGGTTCCCTCGCCACATTCCCTAGAAGGGACCCCTTCTAATTGAAGTTGTGGTCCTAGGCCTTTGAGCAGGCCCAGGTAGCCCTTTCATTTAACTATGTTTATGGAGGTTTTCCTGTGAGGCTTATAGCTTGGGCTATGACCGTAGGGAGTGGTGTAACTGACAGCCCAGTGTGACCTGAGGGTGTGTGGTTCTAGCATTTCATTTGAATTTGCTGGTTCGGACAGTTGTCACTGCCTGAGGGCATGCACTCCCCTCAGCATGGCGGAGTGGGTATTTCGTTCCCCATAGCGTCGATGACGTATTGTTGCATTTCCTTCGAAAGGGAACGTCTCAGGTTACGACTGTAACCTTTGTTCCCTGAGAACAGGGAACGAGACAATATGTCTCCCTGCCATGCCTCGAGGCTTGCCTACCGTACAGTCCCTTCAGACGATAAGGTGATTTGTCATGTTTGCAAGGCGCCCTTATATACTTCCAGGTCGCACGTTAATCATTCACGTTAATGATTCATGGGCTGTCGCCGGTCAATGTGATTGACGTGATTTGATAGTGATTTCAGACACCTGTCATGCCTGAAGCGTTCCCCATAGCGTCGATGACGTATTGTCTTGTTCCCTGTTCTCAGGGAACAAAGGTTACAGTCTTAACCTGAGACGTTTTTAAAATATTTTATTATCTAAAATCAATATTTTTATTCATAAATATGTCTTCAATGGTGTACAAATACTTCTGCCAATTATCTGATTTATCCTCGTAAACGAAGAATTTATTATCTTTATATACATGGGACGGGTAGGTCCACGGAGGCTTCCATGTCGTTCCGCCATCTTGATAAACTATAATAGCAGAGAGGGACAAACAGTACTATGTCAACGCAGTAAAAAGGTGGGCTCCTGTAATGCCTTTAATACTCCAATGATCACGAGTTATACTATCATATCCACCCTGTGTTCATCTCTGCCTTTCTCCATTCTTTTTTTTTTTTTTTCTCTCCCCTCCCTCGGTATTAGGTGTATTTGTTTTCATTCTCTGTATAATGTGTACGATATAATTAAGTTTGAACAATTGTCAATATTGTGGGAACATGATGGACTAACATGTTAAAACCCAATGTCATACTGTATTGTATGTAATGATGTGGCTCTAAATAAAAATATAAGGTAAAAAATAAAATAACCTAATGCACAGCTAACTGTTATTTTACTTAAATAATACATTTGATTGAATAAGACGTGAATGTGTGCGTCTGTGCTGGTTTATGTTGGTAAACTAGGACAGCTTGAACTGGTGACCGGTCAGATTAACACATGCACTCACGCCGTCTTCGACCTGCTAATTGTAGACTGCTTATTTTTATCCATTGTAAAAAACTTCTTTAAGTTCCTCGAAGTTTTCCTGTATTTTTATGGTGGTACGTTAAAGCCAAAGGCTAAAGTGATTATAACCTTTCTCACTCACTCATTGCTGTGAGTGAGTTTAGCTGGATGCTTAAACCCTTTCCTTCACTGGAGCGATAATATTTTCCTACAGGCTAACTCTGAAGCTCGGATTCAGTTGCCCTCTTTTATGGTACATTACTGAGGCTCTGACTCATTTTGTTTTTTACATATTGTGATTCTGTTGTGCTGAAGCTGTTGTGCCATATTGAGAATTTGAATTTTTTGCTTGAGAGTTCCAGCAATTAGAAATTAAAATTTCACAGACTACTACATTTACTGCAGGAGGTGATTCAGCAAAATAAGAGAATTGGTTAATAGAGTTAAACGTACCATGAATTCCATTTACATACGTGACTATGCCCTTTTCATTCATGTTATGCACAGATTAAATAATGATGGTTGAGTTCATTTTGATTGAGTGTTATTAGAGTGACAGAGAAGAATAAATCAGGGGGGTTAATGCACTGTGGGGTTTCTGAATAAACTGTATCGATGGTTGTGTTTATTTGCACATATACTGTCTGTGTAGTTTTAGCTTTACAGTCTTGTTGGTCGGTTCTGAGTGCTCAGTGGGGACGTTGCAGCAAACGCCTGGCATATTTATTTGGGCCTGAAGCATCACTCCATTACCATGATCCAGGCAACTTATTTGTCTATTTAAAATGCTGAAAGTGCAGCAGTCTACATGGACTGACTCATTATAATGCTGTTCCATCAACTGATCATTTTTGGTGAGTTATAGCTTCTGGGACCATAAGAATAATACACAAAATACTGTTTAAACTACAGTAAACGAAATACTGCCACCTGGTTTCCACCAGAGGAAATTTATGGAAGCCAGTTTTTGTTTGCTTAATGCATACTTTTCAATACTAGTACTACTAATAATAATAATAATAATAATTATTATTATTATTAAAAACAGTCCACAATTAACTGGTAATAGGTGAGGGTATCGTGATTGAGTGCAAAAGGAGCATCTCAGTTTTTGCAAGCCAAGATGGGTCAGGGCCCTCAGACGGCACTGCATGAAAACCGTCATGCGACTGTGTTAAATATAGCGTGGGAATATTTTGGAAAACCGTTGTCCCTTAACACAGTCCGCCGCTGCATCAAGAAATGCAACTTGAATCTCTGTTAGAAATCTGTTCAATGCAGATATAGCACTGAGTTATCTGAGCCTGAGCTCAGATGGTCTTAAGTGTACTGTGGTCAGATGAGTCCATGTTTCAGCTTGGCATCGAGTTCTCAGTCCCAAAGACCATCCAGACTTTCATCAGCGACAGGTACAACAGCAAACACCTGTCATGGTATGGGGTGAATCAGTGAAACGGCATGGGTGACTCGCATAACTTTTACAAAGTGTAATTAAAAGGAAAGGTGACGTGACCCAGTGTGGTAAGCATGCCTCTGTCCTAACTTTTTAGGAGAGTTTTGCAGCCATCAAAATCAAAATTTGTTTATTACAAAATACACTTAAGTTAACTTACACTTAATTTAATAAGTTAACAAAATACACTTAAGTTAACTTAAACACACAGTTTAAGTTAACTTTGAACATCTTGTCTCTGTACTTTTGACAGTTAAATAAAGGTAAATAAAGTTAAAAGAGAATTAAATTATGCTATTTTAAAGGTTCCTAATGTTGTTTTGTTAGGGACTGCGCTGGAAATGAATGTCATCGTATCTTAATGATACAAAAATAACACTGCTCTAAACATATATAAATTTGCATGTACATTATTAATACTACACTGCAAAAATTATGGTAGTATCCTGTTCTGATCATTGCCATTTGTGTGTGTGTTTTATTAGGTAATAGATTCTCCTCGTCCCATGCCCGTTTGCTGGTGGTTGGAGTGTGGTGTTATGCGGCAGTGTTTGCAGTAGGTCCGCTCTCAGGCTGGGGTCAGTACGGGTCAGAGCCTTACGGCACCGCCTGCTGTATCGACTGGCACGCGCCCAGCTACAGCACACCCGCCATGATCTACATCATCTGCCTCTTCTTCTTCTGTTACATCGTACCCTGCACCATCATCATCCTCTCCTACACTCTCATCCTTGTGACGGTCCGGGGGGCCCAACATGCAGTGCAGCAGCACGTCTCTCCGCAAAACAAAATCTCCAACGTGCAAACACTTATTGTCAAGGTAAGGGTCACACATAGAGTTGAGGAGAATGAGTACTCCACTGCTTTTCAACCTGTTGGAGGTAATGGTAGTAATACTGGTTCCTCACTGGTGGGATTGCATTCATTCCTTGTACAGTATTTAAATGTAACAACTTTAAAAATGTCAAGAAGTATAACCAGGGTCTAAAATGAAAACTCGCCACTGTTAACATCTGAACACCGCGTCTCTCAGACAGCGCGCAAAGTTGAGCTCTCTTTCATGCCGTCTTGCGCTTCAAAGGACAAATTCACTCACAGTTATGTCAAAAAACGCCTGTCTCTGCGAGTATCTTGGTAAAAAATAGTATGTTACGTCTGAAGTGAACGCAAACACGAAACCCATGATCCGTGAGTGCATTCGGTCCTAAAGTAACAGCATCCTAATAATCCTGCTACTGTCTGTGTGTTTTTAATGTTAACCAAACAACAAAGGACAACGGAAAAAACACTCACTGATCTTGAACTTTAAAAAGCATATGTAGACTATCCAGTGTTATTTATTTGGTTAGCCTGATTTATTAAAGTTTTGTACCTGAAAACTATTAGACATGCCAGAAGAGCACTGTTTATTTAATTTGTATGTATTGTATTGTATTTATTTGTGCTTTTGCTTTTAATTGGATTTTTTGTCCTGATTTTATTACTGACTGTTAACTTGTCTTTAAAAATGTAGGCTAATACATTTCTATTAGTTAAACTAGTAGTTTTAGCTGTGGTATCAAATTGGAATAGAGGAGTGTGAATTTTCACTGGTATCTAAAATGTTGGTGTCATAACTGCCTGTTTTTGGGTCATGGCTAGTAAAAAAATATTTTTGGCCAGTTAATTTTCATAAGTCACCGGCCATTGGCAGGTGTGGCAAAACAATTAGCTGTAGGCCCTGGGTATAACTATCATAACCATAGTTCCCTGAGAAAGGGAACGAGACGATGCGTCAACGACGCTTTGGGAACGCACCCAGCGTGAATGCGTCTGAAGCATCTATGTCAACTAGTCCAATGGAAAGAATGAGCGTCACGGGCGGGTGACGTCATGACCAGAAAGAGATAAAAGCACATCCGGTGCAAACCGGCATTAGCTTCGAAAATTGCAGAAGCAAGCCGATCACAGGGATGCAGGAAGTATGGCAGGGTGACGCATCGTCTCGTTCCCTTTCTCAGGGAACTATGGTTACAGTCGTAACCTGAGACGTTCCCTTTCGAGGGAACTCGCGATGCGTCAACGACGCTTTGGGAACGAGAATACCCAAATCGCCAAAGTTTCAAGTACCTGAGTGTCAGTCTGTTGTACGCTAAGCACTAAGCACCTGAGAACCTGGGGCAGCTTCCAGGTCCAAGCTGTAAAACCTGACGAATGTGAGCGGTGAGGACCAGCCCGCCACATCACACACGTCTTGGAGAGAAACCCCAAATAATAAGGCTTTAGAGGCCGCCATACCCCTAGTAGAGTGAGCCCTGACCGCCAAAGGGCACAGCTGGTCAGAGTACTTGTAAGCAAGTGAAATAGCCTTGACTATCCACCTACTAACCGTCTGTTTAGAAGCAGGAAGACCTTTCTTGGGTAATCCAAAACAAACAAATAACTGGTCGGAGTTTCTCCACTGAGAAGTCCGATGAACATAAGTGTCCAGTGCTCGCACTGGACACAAGAGGTTCAGCTTTTCCTGGTCCGCAGATGTAAAAGGAGGAGGACAGAAAGCCTGCAGCACAATAGGCCTCGGAATCATGGTCGGCACCTTAGGGACGTATCCCTGTTTTGGATATAAGAATGCCTTGACCATCCCCGGTGCAAACTCAAGGCTAGTGGGGGAAACCGAAAGGGCCTGAAGGTCTCCGACTCTTTTGAGGGACGAAATAGCTAACAGAAAGATAGTCTTAAAAGTGAGAAATTTCTCTGAAACCGAGTCTAAGGGCTCAAATGGAGCCCTAGACAGGCCTTCCAAAACTATTGAAAGGTCACAGGCCGGCACCCTAGTGCGAGTTGCAGGCCTCAGCCTCAAGGTGCCACGAAGGAAACGAGTAATCAGGGGGTCTCGACCCAGAGATGCACCACCCACCAGGGCGTGGGAAGCCGCAATGGCCACCACGTAGACCTTGAGCGTGGATGGACATAGACCTGATGTGAAACGCTCCTGTAGAAACTCGAGGACTGTGTTTACTGAACAGTTAACCAGGTCCCACTGGCGTTGGTGACACCAAGAAGAAAAAACTCTCCATTTTAGCGCATTAAGTTTCCTCGTAGCAGGAGCTCTGGAGCTTAGAATGGTCTCAACAACCTCGGTTGAGAGACCACTCTCCCTTAGTTGGGCCCCCTCAGAGGCCAAACCAATAGTTTCCATATCTCTGGTCGGGGGTGAAATATTGTGCCCCCTGCCTGAGACAGAAGGTCTCTCCTGATCGGGATCTCCAAGGGAGGGCCGTCGAGAAGATGAATGAGGTCCGCAAACCAAATTCCGCTCGGCCAGCATGGTGCTACTAGCAGTAGGCTTATTCCATCCTGGCGGATTCTCTTCGGAACTCCTGGGAGCAGAGCAACAAGGGGAAATGCGTACAGACGTAGCCTCGGCCACGTCTGCACCATAGCATCCAGCCCCAGGGGGGCTGGTTGAGTGAGGGAGAACCAGAGTGGACAGTGCGTCGTGTGCTGAGACGCAAACAGATCCACTTCTGCCTGGCCATAAAACTCCCATATTTGCTCCACCGCCTCGGGGTGGAGTCTCCAGTCCCCTGGCCTCAGCCCCTGCCTCGACAGGGTGTCTGCTCCTATATTCTGGTCCCCTGGAATATACACTTCCCTCAGAGAGAGTATTTTCCCCAGGGACCACAGGAGGATCTGGTGCGCCAGTTTGCAAAGCGGACGCGAACGCAGACCCCCCTGGCGGTTCAGATAAGAGACCACCGATGTGTTGTCTGTACGGCAATTTATGTGCCAAGAGAGATGATGACTCCTCCACAGACCTTGAGCCGAGCGGCCTTCCATTACCGCACCCCAGCCAGTGAGGGAAGCATCTGTCGAGATAGCAACTCGATGGCAAAGAGCTCCCAACACCGGACCCTGGGTTAAGAACCAGTGTTTCCTCCATATAACCAAGGCGCGGAGACACCGCCGTGTTATCTTGATCATACGAAGTGGGTTTCCCTTTGGGGAGAACCCTCTGGTCCTGAGCCACCACTGCAAAGGTCTCATGTACAGCAGGCCAAAGGGTATCACATTGGATGCTGCTGCCAAGAGGCCTAACAGTCTCTCGAACTGTTTCACAGTTCGTGACTGGCCTAGCTTTAGCTTATTTGTGGCTGTAAGGATAGCAGCTACACGAGCGGGTGATAGAACGGCTCGCATCGTGACTGAATCCCATACCACACCAAGAAAAGTGGTTCTCTGTACTGGAGAAAGCACACTCTTTTTGGCATTGAGCCTCAAACCTAACATTTGCATATGAGCGAGAACGACACCTCGGTGCCGAACCGCTAACTGTTCTGATTCCGCTAGAATCAGCCAGCCATCTATGTAGTTCAGAATACGTATGACCTGCAGCCTGAGCGGGGCCAGAGCTGCATCTACACATTTCGTGAACGTGCGGGGTGATAAAGCTAGACCAAAAGGAAGTACCCGATATTGGTATTTTTTGCCCCCGAAAGAAAACCTCAGGAACCTCCTGTGCTGAGGGAGGATGGAGACATGGAAGTAAGCGTCTTTCAGATCTATCGTTCTATCTTATTGATCCTTTCTCTACTATCTGCAGGACCCATTAAGATATATTTGGCAGTAGCTTCCACGCTGCCAGAAAATCTACTAAGGGAACCAGGCTGGCCTCTGGTGTTATAGAGACAGCTAGTTCGGGAGCCTGAAACATACCGGCAGGAACTACCTGAACTGACTGTTTTTGAACCCCCCTCAGAGGATGCGAGTCTGACGCAATGTCGAGTCGACATTGCACCAGAAGCTCGCTGGAGACCGCTGCGCCCCGAAGCACCGAGGGTGGCGGGGTTGGCAGAACGGCCCCGTGAGGACACCGAGATGGAACGGGCACCGTATTCTGAGGTGTGTACCGTCCCACCCCGGTTGGGGCTGCCCTCACAGGTCTGACGCCAGAGACGTCAGGACCTTTTCTTTTGGGCCGAAGCCTTCTTAGCCTGAAGAACGGTCCTCAGATCTGGCTTAGACTTCGAAGACTTCGGCTGAGAGTGTTGCGACTGTTTCCAGTGTTTCTGTGGAGGTGCACGAGACGCAACACTCTCTTTCTGTTGAGCACGATATGAGGAGCTCGACGGCTGGGGCTGCTCACGCCCAGCAGTCCCAGGGGGTAAGACACGGCGAGGGAGAAACTTTTTGAATGCCTCTGATTGTTTTTTACCCTCCTGAAATCGGTCAACTACAGCGCTCACTGCATCACCGAAGAGACCAGAAGGATCTACTGGAGCATCAAGGAGGAAGGTTTTATCCTTCTCCTTAATCTCAGCAAGGTTTAACCAGAGGTGTCTCTCAGTAGCTACAAGGGCTGCCATAGACCGCCCAATTGCTCTAGCGGTCTCCTATGTAGCTCTGAGAGACAAATCTGTGGCCAGACGCAGTTTGCGAACCTCATCGGGGCCCACTCCCTCACTCCTGTCTAAATCCCCCAGCAGGTCAGCCTGGTATGCCTGAAGCACAGCCATAGTGTGAAGGCATGCTCCAGCCTGATCCGCTGCCGTATATGCTTTGCCCACTAAAGTTGATGTTGTCTTTAATGGCTTCGTGGGCAAAGCCGAGGCCTTCAGAGAAGATGCTGGACCGGGTGACAGATAGCTCGTGAGTGTCTGTTCAGCCCGGGGCATCGACTCATAACCATACTCATTCAATCCCCTTATAGCTGAATAAATATGCCCTTGGGGACTGAATACTCGTGACGAGTATGGTTTATTCAAAGATCTGGACAGCTCACTGGTAAAAAAGGAAGGCCTTGTGGTGGAAGTGAAATATTTGAAGGAAGGAAATGCTCGT